GTGCATTTTGTTTTGTTTTTCGTGTATTTTTAACTACAAAAAAGCTCACCAGTTGTACGGTTTCGTTGCGGAGAGCGCTCCCGTAACAACACCCTTGATACCACTAATGGATATTAGCAGCGCATTCGTCACTACAAACCTATGTATGTCATTGAATCGTGGAAATCTTTACTAATCCGATCACCGGCATCTACGTGGATAATCCGTTCAATTTCATTAGCGGATCTGTGATATAAAACGTGGGACCGTGGAGCGAGAGTCAGCAGTCAGTCAGTTGGTGAAACCGAACGCACTACCGAGGGCTGCTCACAAGATGATCCCGCCTGCCGTCATGGACAATCACACTGAAAATTACAATTATGGCGCTTATTTTGCACCATATAGGTAAGTTCTTACTTAAAAAGTGTATGTAATGTAATATAAATCCTTTTCTTTATGCTTCATTATTTGTTTCCAGATCGGAGGGAATGGAAATGCTAGGCGAGGGTCTGACGGGCGAGAATCTGGCGGCCATCCCGGAGCACTGGCTGTCGTACCCCGCTCCGCCCGCTAGCGCTCACACCATGCTCGCGCTCGTCTACGTGTTCTTCACTGCCGCCGCTCTCATCGGAAACGGACTCGTCATATTCATTTTCTCCGCGTTTGTATTCAATCATTATAAAACTAAATAGAAAAAATGCAAGAAAAATTCTATAAAATAAACACAAAAAACACATTGCTATTAAATAAGAACAAGCTAAATAAAATACCAGTTTTGACCGATAATCTGAAATAAAAGGTTTTTTTTCCATTTCCAGTTCAAAGTCACTTCGAACGCCTAGCAACCTTTTGGTCGTGCAGCTGGCGGTGTTGGATTTCTTAATGATGCTGAAAGCGCCGATATTTATTTACAACAGTATAAAGCGTGGTTTCGCATCAGGCGTTATTGGATGTCAGATATTCGCTTTCATGGGCTCGGTGAGCGGAATCGGAGCAGGACTGACCAACGCTTGCATAGCTTACGATAGGTAAGACTCTCTTTTGTGGTGTACTCCTAATGGTGAGTCTGCACTCTCGTAGTAGCTACATAATGTTATTCGTCTCATTGTTATTGAAACAACGGAGATATCAGTATAAACTTATATTAGTATCACGAAAGTTGAAAATAATCATTTAACCAACCATTTTATCCAATAAACTTATATAAGTTTATTGTTGTTTGAATAAAGTGATTTTGTTATATATCTTAATTGATAGGTTTCAATTTAAGCTCAATGTTTTTCGCATATTAAAACATTAAAGCCTTTGTTAATGTAATATAGACACTCTACGATCACGCGACCGCTGGACGGGCGGCTGTCGCGCGGCAAAGTGCTCCTGATGATGGTGTGCGTGTGGGTATACACGGCGCCCTGGGCCATCTTACCGCAGCTGCAGATCTGGGGCAGATATGTGCCTGGTAATATTATATTCAAAAATTTCAATTACTTTTTATAGTACCTGTTAAGAAAAACGAATTATGAAGTTGATATGTTATGATAAGATGTCAAAGTTGTTATATTTTTAATAATTATTATGTTTTTATAAGTATTAATATTACGATGCATTTCAGAGGGTTTTCTGACATCTTGTACATTCGACTACCTCACCGCGACATTTGATAACAAACTGTTCGTGGGGTGCATGTTTGTCTGCGTCTACATTTTCCCCATGACCGCCATCTTGTACTTCTACAGCGGTATTGTAAAACAAGTGTTTGCACATGAAGCCGCATTAAGGTAAATATCCATATTTACGCTTGATAGTTGAAAATAAGTACCGAAAAATTAACAATATGATTGAGTTTTTAAGTGCGGGCTTTTAATTTTACGTTTAAATTGTCCAACTTTATTTAAAAAACCAAACATGTTTGCAATTTCTTGCTTTCATTAGTGTATGGGCAGTGGAAACTTGGATTAAATATTACTAGCGGCCAACTAACTATCAGACATAAGTTTTTTATGAGTAAGTAAAATTGTTGTAAATATTAACTTTTGATGTGAAACAGAGAACAAGCGAAGAAAATGAACGTAGATTCCTTGAGGTCGAATCAAAACGCGGCTGCGGAGTCTGCGGAGATACGCATCGCAAAGGCAGCGCTCACTGTTTGCTTCCTGTACGTCGCCTCGTGGACTCCCTACGGCGTCATGTCGCTCATCGGGGCCTTTGGAGACCAGAATCTTTTAACACCGGGGGTAATCAATTGAATTCATTACCAAAATTATTGTGATAAATTAATTAATCAGTTGTTACATTGTACTGCTAGAAAACGAAATAATCAATAGAATTTCGTGATCGAAAATCAAAAGTCTTAATTTTGTATATTTAGAGAAATGCACAAAAAGTATTCTTCCGTAGTAGGGGTAACTATTACTGGACTATTACTGGATATTAAAAACTACAGCCATATTTTTATGATTTTATTTTATTCTAGGTAACAATGATACCCGCCCTTGCATGCAAGGGTGTCGCCTGTATCGACCCTTGGGTTTATGCCATCAGCCATCCGAAATACAGGTAAATAAAATTCATTACAGATTATATTCTATAGTGATACTTGTAATATTGATGCATGACGTAATATTTTTTTGTTTTAAGATTTGAAACCATTAAAAAATTTAGTGTTTTGTATTTTAAACTGACAAACCCTTACTCGAGGATAAAGCTCGCATCTCAAGAGTCCAGCCCTCAAGCAGTAATATTATTTTAATTACAGACAAGAACTGCAAAAGCGAATGCCATGGCTACAGATCGACGAACCCGATGATAATGCCTCCAACTCAACCAGTAACACGGCCAACAGCTCGGCTCCCGCATAACTACGAACATATACTGACATACAACGCGCATAAACTTACTGATTATTACGACATAACTTGCTTTATGGAAAAAAAATATTTAAGGGATCTATAATTATTACCGAAAAGTTATATAATACTTAGATATTATTCATTTATTAACCTCGATATATGCAATAATATGCTCAAAATGAGTAAAACTGAAAAAAAAAGTTAAACTATATATAGTTTATTCAATAGATAATGATGAACTGGCGCGAATAATGGACTACGACATATTGTATCTATTTATGTTTCTATTCTTAATAGCAAAGAATTTCAATAAACAGAAATTGTGACTAAAATGTGTTTTAATTTTTATCTATAAAAGAGGATGCAATCACAGTTTTTAGTTACATAACACACTAAAGCCTACTACACAACTTCAGTTTTAACTGCACATATGCAGTACTGCATCTGTAAGCAAAATAATAACTGTCGGTTAACCATATGAACAGTCCTCAGCTTTGTCTACACTTAAAAATTAGCTATACAAGTGAACTGTTCAGTTTAAACTGAAGGTGTGTAGCAGGTTAGTAAAAATGTATAAAAAAAAATAAATAAGACACTTTTAAAAATGTTTAAATCATTTATTACACTTTTTATTTACCCCTAATGTATGAATAACAAGCTTCATTATTTATAATCACTTATTTTAAAAGAGATTCTAAAAACTATACATCTGGATTATTTATAACTTTTAGATTTCTTAAATAAAATTTCACAGAAGAAAAAACTTAATCTTATCTTAATACTTAAAAATGAGGTAAACAGACTTTTCCTGCAAATAACTCAGATATTACAGTTATCCATAGAGACAGCACAAACAATATGTAAGATATACCAACTTGGTGACTGTTGGGTAGTTGATATGGCTGGCCACCAATTTCATCCACATGGAAGCCCATGGGGAAAATGACTGCAGCAAGACAAAATGCCACCACTGTAATATTAATAGAAACATTAGTGTCACTTAGGTTCAGATTAAGTACTCGGGGTGATATCAAGTCATGTTTAGCGATGTTAACGTAATTCAATATAATTTTAAATAGGTACAAAAACTTACTGGCAGCAAATCCAACCCATCTTGCATATGGAATGACATTACGATCAAAATGACTTGATGCTAAAAGAATAACAGTACTTGTTATGCAAACACATCCAATAAGGATGCATATTAGCGCCAAAAGCCATTCAGGTTGAAGGTCAGGTGTAAAACAGACTTGGGGTCTGTTGTAGAGGGTCATACAAGACCACATTAAGCCAAGACGAGTATCTCCTACAAATAAAATTATGTATGTAATATTCCTTTGCATCTTAATAAAGTGGTATGTAACAATCTTACCTCCTACATCAGTAATTATCCAGTCTGGCATAGCCAGACTTACAATAGCAAAAACATCTGCTGCCATGAACAAAGTTCCTGATATAACAGTTAATTTATCCATATTTACACTTTGATGTATAAGTGAAAATTTTTAGAAAAGTTTAAGATTAAAACCTTAAAAGGATTGTTTTTACTTATTGGTATATTTACAATTACATTGTTTTGTCAAAAAAACACCAAGTGAAAACAATGTTAAATGACACTGACAGTGACGCTACTGACGACAGCAAGTGACAAACCTGGAATAGTGTGACCAGAAAAAAGCGATCTATATTTTTTTACATCTAATGTAATAAATAGGAAAGATTTATATTTTTGTATGTATAAAATAACTCGAAAACTACTGGCCCGATTTTAAAAATTCTTTCACCATTAGAAAGCTACGTCATCTGTAACAAGCCATATTTTTGTATTTTTTAAAGTTCTCGGGGCAAAGTCGCGGTCAACAGCTAGTTTATAATTAAACAGCGTAACCTCAAACTGTTAAGTGACCCTATGTCCGTCATTCTTTTATGAGTATTAAATTGTATATTCTAATTTTTACACATTATGTATATTTTTCTTTGAAATTGAATGCATTTATACCGTGGGCATTGGTCAAGTTATTATAAATATAGAATATCTACAAACATTTCCTAGTCTTAACTTGGTCCCAACCGTGAGAAGATAGAAGACTAGCCTAAAACTTTAACCAATGTTTATAACATGACCAGTCTAGTTGAAATCTGGTCCACCAGTACATTACGGTAGGACAATTTTTGCTATATGTACAAAAAATATACATAGCATTACAAAACTTCATTTATCATTTGTCATGGGGCAAGGTTTTAGAGTAATAAAAAAATCTATTTAAAAAACTCAAATTTAATTCATTACAATCATATGATCTAAAAACATAACCTTAGACAATAATTACTGTACAAGAATTCATTAAAATTAAAATATTATGCAGAGAGAAATTGATTATTTACATTCAGTCTATTCTGCTATAACTGCACACTTTCTTCAAGTCACTTAAAACTGTCTTATTATGAATAATACCTCCTGATTTTTGTAATGCCAATTACATTCTTCTAGCATGGTGTTGTTGTAGCGTATTGTATGAGAAGTAATTCACGGTGCTCTTCTTCCGCAAGATTAATTTATTGCGAAGTTTAGTGCTGCATCCAAGAGAGACCGACAAGCAAAGCTGAGTGTGTGGGCACGCCGGACTGAGGACACCCGCTACCGTGTGGCAGTTACATGACTGCGCAGCGCCATGCTACTATAACAGGAGGGCTAACAAACAGAAAATGTTAAATACTCGCAATAGCTGGGAGGCTGGCCTTGCAATCTAGTTCGGTTTGATTGCTGCCAGTGTATATTAACGAAAATTTGTTTAAGAACTCTAAGGCCTTCGAAGTAGACTCAAACGCCAGCTCTCGAACAATGAAGTCCACAGGAACTGACTGCCTGTAGCTGGACATACAAAATAATATTAATAAACAAATCCAGCATGGCTGGCAAGTAATTGGAGAATATATCCTGAAAGCATCTCCTTTCATCAACCTTCCTTAACTAATTACCAAAAATAATTATTTTTACCATATTTCTGCAAAAAAAATATTTTAAAGCGAATTTAGCTAAATGCAAGTTAAATATAAATACAACTAAGGTTTTTTTTTATTTTTTTATTACTCAGCAGTAAGGTAAAGAATAAGGAAAATCGAAACTAGTCCAGTAATTTCTGTAATATATCAAACTAAAAGAATAATTGAAAATGACAAACATATCTTCATTCACACTTTCTGCACCAACATTAATAGTTCATACACACTGAATCATTACACAGAATAGTCAGTTAGCATTTTCTCTTCTTCATACCATTGTTAAAAATAAATATTTTCATGCTTATGTATATGTTTTATTATTACCTTATTAGGAGTACTATTCTAATATTACCAAGAAAACATTGAATTATAAATTTTGAGTAATAGCATTAAGTAATAGTTTATTATGCTCTGTATATAGTTTATTTTATCAAAAAATGCCTACTAATTACTAAAAGAATACCCGCACCAAATAGTTTAAATTTATATGAAAAATATTATTATTTGAAGTATAGTCATTAACACAAATAAGTTAATGTGTTTGTTAATGTGATATGTTGATGATGGTGTTAAGTCAAAATTTCCAAATGATTTGAAAATATGAGAATGTGTTATGTAATATTAAATTAAAATTGACATACGACTTTATGATGTATTTCATATATTGTTTCCGCTCCCTCTCCACAAACCAGTCCATGAGATATCCCGCCATCAGGGGAGCTGTTTTGTACAACAAGAAGAATTTATGCAGATTCCCTGTTGCCCAGGCACACCGAGTATGTAGGGCATGTTTAATACATTCATTTTCTCTGTCCTCTTTTGTAAGAAACTGGAATATTGTTGTCAGATCTAAAACAAAATAATTGTTATTCAAAAAAGGTCTATGAAATCTCTTTTCAACATTTGTTGACAGTGAATGTTAATTCCCACTGTTGTCCACATGTTATTAAAAAAAACTTCATTAGTAGCCTATGTATTCTTTCAGACTATGATTTAAATCTGTGCAAAGTTTTAACAAAGTCTGTTAAGCCAATCAGAATACATAGTAACAAACATCAATCCAACCATTCAAACTTTGGCATAATACTAGTAACATAAGATATAACAATATTTTTATTTACCTAGTGTATTTTTTGTAAACACATAATATAATATCCTATATGCAGTAAATTCAGCAGCATTGGCTCTGCAATCAGGTAACTCTGCATACAGCATTTTCAGTTGTGTTTGACACTGATTGAACTCCTCATGGTCACCTCTCTCCAATGCTATCCTTGCATGGGTTTCATACACTTCTACAGTAAAACCATCTCTCACACCTTGAACCTGCAGCATTAAAATATCCAATTACATGGTTTAAATAATTAAAATAATAATATTCAAATAAGAGGACAAAGTTAGTATTTAGCTACTAAAAAAAATCTATACATATTATATTAGAAAGTTATGTATATAAAATTGGTACACATTTGACAACTTACTGTTAGATCCTGTCTTATAGACTTAAGCTGGTCACAAGCATATCGGTAATCCTGTCTCTCTATCCATTTTTCTTTAACATTTTTAAGTGAACTTCTCAAAATAGAGACTGGTCTCACTTCACATGCTTCAGGAGCTTTGGTTAATCTCAAAAATGACTTTTCAATATCAGAGCATGTACCCACAATATGTACATTATTTAGCTCATAATCTCCTTCAGTATCCTGAACAAATGGCCTCTTTGGGCTAGGATCCATTTTACAGTTGTTAATCTGTATAGAACTAGCAACACTAGGTACATTTGTGTTTGCAAACCTTTCAGCACGCTTCTGTAATTTCTCTGCATTAACCTGTACATGCTCAACAACAAATTGGTTGAAATTTTTCTTCTTGCCATTTTTGTTAAATTTGTTTGTTTTCTTCTGATCCAATGACAATCTATCTTTTACTTTCTGCCGATTCTTATTTTTTAAAATCTTCTTATCTTCAAATTCATCGCTGGATGTTGAAGATGTACTAAAAAAAAAGTTAGTAAAGACAAGTGGTTGTTGATGGACATTGTAAATCCATAAAAATCAGAAAACCTACCTTGTATGTTTCCTTGGACTTCTAGATTTAGATCTGCTTCTGGAGTGACGCCGACGTCTCTGCTGTGGGCTCTTGTGTGCACTGTAACCTCTGCTTGCCGGACCTGACTTGGGCTTACTATCTGAAAGGCTCTCTGCTTTTTGATATAAAGATAATGAGCCCTTAACGGGCTTAACTGACAAGTTATTACGTTCACTGTGGACACTTGGAATTGGTTCCTCATCCCAATTCCTGGTCCATATTTCATCTTTATTTGCAGCTGCTGTAATACGTCCCTTTAAACATATATCAATTTGGTCACGGTCAAAAGTTGTTCTACATTTTTCATAACACCTTTTAATATACCTTTCTAAATTTTCAGGCCATGTCCCATTTGCTGTTGGACATATTTTGGAAGAATGTGAGAACATAGAATTATCTTGTTCATTTTCATTTAATTCCTGTTCCTTATTATCCACATGATTTTTTTCTTCTAATGGCTCAGGTATATCTTCTGTTGCTAAAGGGGGAGGTAATGGTACTTCAAGAGGAGGAGGAGGCGGAAGGTCTGGAGGTGGACATGGGGGCAATGGCGGAGGATGATCTGGCAGAGGAGGTAATTCATCTGTTTCTGCCTCGTCATTTGACTTATTGCCTTTCTTACGCTTTTTCTTTGCATTATTATTTACAAGGAGAGGATTCTCATTAGGAGGAATAGGTGCCGATTTTCTATTATTGTTAAGATTAAATCTGATTGGTTGAGAATAAAATGGACGATTGGTGTCAAAAGGGGACATTCCAAGAAGAGGTGCGGATGGCGGAGGCTTAGAGAAATTAGGATGGACAAAATTTCCTTGATGATGATCATTATTATGAAAACCAACATTAGGACGCATGGTATTATAATACTGATTGTTGTAAAACGGCGGATACATTCCACCGTGATATCCATTGTATGGAGGATGCATACCATACATCCACATATTTGGATTAGACATCCACATATCCATATTCGGTAAAGGGGGCTCTTTGGGTGTGTTTTCAGACATTTTATGTGTATAAAATAAAACTTAAATATGTCATGTACTTCTGAATAGCCAATGTACCATTCACAAAATGGCGTCGCAGCAAAAACTTCAGATCCTATACTCGTTACTTCTAAAACTGCAAAATCTTCGACTTACTGATTAAATAAACAGCTTCAATGGTTCCGGATTTAAGTTTAATAAATAAATCTTTTAATGGCGTTACGGCGTTACCAATACTAAGGAAATTCAACGATATTCAATATTTATTATTCGCCAACCAATAACTTCACTCACTTGCACTCACTTATCAAAGAGCATATAAGCATCTTATTTAACATTCCTCTACATTCCTCTATGGAACTAGAGATGCCTCAGATGGGTAAAGATTACAGATACAGAAACATACAGTAATGAAATTATTTATGAAGTTTTTGTGGATAAATAATATTAAGATACCTATTTGTAAAGATAAATTGATTTACAATTAAATCAAATTCAAGAAAATTGGTATCTACCTATGCAAACGTTACGATTCCACAAATCGGATGCGAATCAAACACTACCATGAAAGAAAGGGCAACATTATTTGAAAATTGATGTTTGAAAATGACATCTGAGAAAAAACGCGGGAATTTCTGAAAAAAAAACACCTGCCCAGTGTTTTTTTCGGCTCCTAAAATTTTTTTATCGTAAATTTAATAAGAGATCAGCGGAGAAAGTAACATCATTATTGTATATATCCATTTATGTTTGTATGTATTTTCATAAAAGGCGACTTCTGGTAGGTTTGTTAATTCCAAATGAATGAGCCGCCAGATGCTGGGGGCACCTGCCCTCTGGATGTGCCTTGCAATGTAACTTTAAGTGAAAGCCGTACGGATACTGCTTGGTCGTTGGTTGGAAACAGTAGTCGAAAACGCAAAGTTGTACGGCAAACTAAAATTTGTAATAGTAATAAATAAAGGAAAAAAAGGATCTAATGGTGCAGTTGACGGAAATTCCTCAGACTGCAATTGTGAAAATGTTTAATCATCAACTCCTAATAATGATAATGAACAAATAACTGTTAATTAAAAAAAACAAAACCGACTTCCAAACAAAATACACTAAAAACAAAGTATTCTCAAAAAAACAGTACACGAAATAATCCCTTGAAAATAGTAAACCTCCTTAATTGTAGCTGTCAGTCAATTTAGATTCATTACTTAATCGTTACTATACTTTCAATTGTCAATTGTTATGGTAAAAATGTAGAAAGCCTACGTAGAAATATGAGTCATCGTTCCTTGCGCGTACTACAAAGGTTTGGAGTAAGTTGCCAGCGTCGGTTTTTCCATCCAAATATGACGTAGAAGACTTCAAGAAAAGAGCGAATTAGTATTTATTAGGGTAGCGTGTACCATCTTTCTACCACATCTTGACTCTCAGTCGGTGGGATCGTGGTCAAGCGCCAGCTTAACTTTATAAAAAATGCTTTGCCTGTTGACCTGTATACATTCCCAACTAATCAATGCCACAATTGTTGTCGTTTTGGATATACAAAACTTCAATGTCGATCGAGACCGCAGTGTTATAAATGTGGCTACAATCATAGTGCAAAGTCTTGCAACATGGAAGAAGAACATCTAGTATGTTGTTTATACAGGGGAAATCATTTTGCTACAAGTAAAACTTGCCCAGAATTTAAAAGACAAAAGCAAATAAAATTATCAATGGCCCAAAACTGTATTTCTTATGCAGAAGCATCTAAGTAACACCTGGCCAGCTTAAGGTCACATACTGATGGATTGACTTCAACCCCAATTCCACCCCAATCCCGTACCATCACTAACAGAATACACGTAACGTAAGCAGAACGCATGCCTACTATTTTGTTATGATATACCACGTCGGGAACATGTCACTCCGTATTATAATAAATGCTGCATATTAAAAATGTCCGGTCGTCGTGTACTGCACTTTTCTAATATGGTACATAAGATTATTAAGACCCATTGCCGGAGATATCTTTTTGACAAATTAAGGTGGAAGAAAGACACTGCAGCTCATCTCACAAGAGCTACTATGCAAAATAAGTTAAGCATTCCAAAACATAGTACAGTCGGCTTTAGAGGTGGGTTTAAGTACGCGACTTCCAAAGTCTGGAACGATCTCCCTCCTCCAATAATACAAATTCCGTCACATCCAGTTAAAAAATGTAAAAAAACATTTTTAGAGTCCCAAATTAATCTATAATACTTGAATTTAGTATGATTGTTTTTGTTTCTATTAATTCATATAATATTTTTTTTTCTTTATGATGACCCTTCGTTATTATCACCGGATTGGGAGGCCACCGAGCTCTTAGATCGCTTCGGTGGACGCTCCATGGAGTGACTAGGCACAAGGGCACACGAGAGGGCCGACCCTCGACTTGATCGGATGCTGCTATGTGATTAATATTAATACGTCTAACATTACTACCACTTCGAAAAGCGTTAGCGCTGGGAGAAGAAGTGGCGGAGGAAACTCCAGCAACGCTTCTATCATTGATAGGAGAAAACCTGCCTGCTATGACGCTGTATCGCGGGAATGATTGCCGTAGTCGACAGCGACTACGGCTTTTTGTCTGTTTGCGTAGATGTTTAATCCTAGCCTGAGCGATTGTTATTGCATAGTCTTGGAAATCAAGAACGTGCCTAGGTCTGCGGTGATCACGTCGAAATTTACCGAGCGCGATTGGGTTGTAGGTGGCGGCACCTACAATTAACGAATTAGGCATGATGGTGTTATTGAATATATTGTTAAGCATCTAAATATATTTATTCTTTATCTGGAGATTAAAATGTACTCGGGTTCTAAGTCGATGGCGTTGAGATTGTTAATCGTAATAGAAAAAGTGGGTGGCAATTAAAAACATAAGTCAATAACTTTTGTTTTATTATCTGCACTGCAATGTCACTTATAACTAATTGCTATTTGATAATTCTTGTGACAGAACATGTGTTTGTAAAAACTTAAGTTTAATACATCCAAGTTATGCGCTATAGATTACTAACTGCTTATTAGATAAACTCGTTGATACATAATTGCTAATATTATAAGCGAGTAATAGATCAATTGAGAAAATTACCACTTCCATATTAGATATATAGGAGAGTAGACGTAAAATTATTTTATATAGGTATATCCGGACTAAGCCTTAAATTGACCTGTCAAGAAAAATTAGTGATACGATTTAACATGTTTAGTAAGCTGCTGCTATTTTTGTTACAGAAATCAGAAATGCGCTTAAATATAACCTATTTATAGATGTAAATCAAAAAACCAGTACAGTGGTAGTGCCCGCTTTAACATGTTAGCACGAATGGGCCGGCACGCCCGGTGTAATACCACGACCACACAGAAGACAGGCGTGAAATGGAAGCAATTTTAAGGAGAGGATGAAAGGGGAAGTGGATTTGACGGAGGAGGAGATGCATAGGAAGGGCAAACATCCTCTGTATGTGCATCTTCTCCTCTTTTAATAAAGGGTAGGCAACGCATCTGCAATTGCGAATGTCTATGGGCAGCGGCCGCTTCGCCATTTTGGCGGCTTCAGGTGGCCGCTTGCTCGTTTGCCACTTTATGTTATAAAAAAAGAAAAAAACCAAATCGATCTAGCTCTATTTCTTCTAAGCGTTCTATTGGCATGAGAGACAGTAGCCCCTCTTGTGTTTAAAATTTTAAAAGTAACTACGTTTTGAGAAAACACCCTATGTATATTGAATTACCTAATTGAGCAACAAATTAGCATAGTTTTTTATAATTTACTCTACTTTAGAAATCATTGGAACATCATAGAGATAGAAATAGAAGATTGGTTGTAATTAAAAAAAACACACAGACGAATTGAGTACCTCCTTCTTTTGGAAAGTCGGTCAAAAAAATTCAGAACTATGAAGGATAATTTCGAGACTTCCAAAACCCATTTTAATTTTTTGGTAATTCTTGGATTTTACAAAGTTATGTCGCCGACATCAAAAATGCAGGAATCTTTACATCTTTTCTATCGGATATTTGTGACTGTCTACTATTGTACATTTTTTACACAACATCTCATATGGCTGTATCAAGTAAGTGCATTTTAGTTACATTAATTAGTTTAAACGCATTAATAAATTAATAAATTAAATTTTAACCTTAATAAATTGTTTCTGACAATGTAGTTATGCACCTATTGGCTAATTTATCGGTTTTGTGTATACTTGTTATAATTTCCTATGTAATTATGTGATTAAACTAGCTGTTGCGTATACTCATATAAATAAATAAATAGATAAATAATGATTGTTAAATAAAGTGAGACAGTTGTGCTCGATTACCATGTCCGCTCAATTTCTTGTAAAAAATCGTGTCCCTGTTATTTACCTTCAAAAAAACTACTTCTTCGTTTTTCAGATCCAGGACAACGTCTCAGAATTAGTCGATACCTTATACGTGTTGTTAACACTTTTGAACTCGCTCGGCAAACTGATGATTTTCAATGTACGAAGGACTCGCATAAAACATATTGTTGAAATTATAAAAGGTGAGAAATAAGAAAAGGTGATGAGAAGGTGACTGTCAAAATTATTTAGACAAATAAATTCAAATTGGGTGAAAATTATCAACAAAACACAGTTCATTTCAATAACTTAAAGATAATTTAACGTACTTGTGGTGTAGTAAAAGTGTAGGAGAAGAGAGAATTTTAGGGTGAACATGAAATAGTATCATTCCGTAAAATTTTTAGCGCCGACTTAATACGTTTATCGCGTCCGAACCATTACAGGACCAGTATTTGCACCAAATAGTAAACGGCACGAGGAGCTCATAATGCGCAATGCTGCGCAGATGAAGCGATTGTTCCGAGCATACCAGGGCTTTGGGATCGTTTGCTCCGCCATGTGGATGATGTATCCACTAATGACTCGATTCTTAGGTGAAGAAGTTCGCTTTCCCATGTATTGGCCATTCAGCACCGATAAACTTCCAACGTAAGTACCTATGTTGGATTGCTCCATGTTCATTGTGCTTTGATTAATGATAAAATGCAAGCCAGTGTTGAACAAAAGAACAAGCGACCTATCCGTAGCTTCTATAGGGTAATGGTTATATGTTAAATTTTCCAAGATGTTATGCTGTATAAGGAATTAATGTTGGAGGAGTAAATAAATTTTAAGACCTCTGACCAGACGGAACTCATTAATAGACATTTACATTCTGGTACTTTGTGAGGACCTGGCATTTCTTTCATCAAACTGATGGCTTATGCTAAGCTAAAGTAATGTCAATCTAAAGTATTGAAGTAATAAATAAATATAAAGTATATTGTTCAGGTTTTTATTTGTGGTCGCATACAATACGATCATGGTGCATTGGATATCAATATCTATGGTAGCTATGGACTGCATCACAGTTGGCTTCTACATGCAAGCGCAACTACAGTTGCAAATGTTAAGATACAATTTCATGCATCTAGCGGATACAGAAGATGAAACCAACGATGAAGATGATGATAAATTTGAAGTAAAAATATACAGAGATGTAGAGAGTTCACAATTTGAAAATTTGTTCCGCAAACGATTGATCATGTGCATTAAACGCCAACAACTTATTGTATGGTAAGACACACCATTTATTGGTTTTGCTATAGACATATTTTTGCTTACTGACACACTCAAAGTACAATAAGGAAGAATTTTAGTACAAGTGTGATATATCTGAGCCACGGGGTAGCATTACCATGGACTCCGAGTGCGGTAGATTAATATTTTTTCAATACCCAGGTTGGTCGATGAAGTTGAATCTGTGTTTGGATCTTCAATGGTTCTGCAATTCTTAGTCATAGGCTGGATCATCAGTATGACTGTTTACAAGATAATTGGCGTATGTTCCTTCTATCGAATCGTTATAAGTAACTAAATAAGGCAGTTAACATAATAAAGTTTATTTTCAGTTGAATGTGATGTCAGCAGAGTTTGTGACAATGATTGCATATTTAGGCTGCGTGTTATTACAATTATTTCTCTTTTGCTATTACGGAACGCAACTTAAAGTTGAGGTATGTATGTTCGTTGGAGAGTGGAAACAAAGTAATGTCAGATTCTTATAGATCCTCATGAATACACAGAGTGAGTTCGTGAACCAATCAATCTACGAATCAGATTGGACGGCGTTGTCGCCGCGGCTGCGTCGGCCGCTGCTCATCATGATGGAGCGCTGCTACCAGCCCGTGGCACCCTGCATTGCATACGTCGTGCCTATGTCTCTTGATACTTTTATATCTGTGAGAATTGCATTTCTAATACAATAATAGTTCCAAATTAAGGATGATCAATAAAAATATTCTAATCTACCTCTATGTCCACGTCCCCACTAAATCCCCCTCCTTCGTCCCATCTAGTCCGAATAGACGCATTTCCTTTTATGTGGCCACTTGACAACTGTTTATGGTCGCGGTAGTACACCGGAAAAGCCGGCCAATTCGTGCAACACTTGTACTATGCTCTACCATTGTATTGTTTTTTTTTTCAGATTGTGAAATCTGCATATTCTCTGTACACATTTCTGGACCAGAGTTAAATTTCAAATTGTTGTCACAAAAATTAAAAATGCTACACAATTGTTTTTTTTTATGTTTGTAATCTTATTAGCTTTTAATTATCAATATTCAGGTTACCAAAGCTACTTTAATTAGAACCTGATTAAAATAACTTTGGTAAACATATCATTAAAACAAATAAAGTATATGAAATTTGAGAAGTTTTATTCAAAATCCCATTTAACCGTCTCGACAAGGATCGCAAAAGAGTTATATTAAACACGGTGTTCACATTCACATGGTTTCGTGAACAATCAGCCTATGAACTAGGGTTGCAAAAAATCTTCCGTTACCGCCGACCGAAACAGTCGACTTTTTAAGTGCTTCGCGTTTAAAAATTGTAGAAAGTGGTAAGATGTGTTCAAAGTATATGGTGCTACATATTATCAGAAACGCCTTATCGACCTCTGTCCTTACCTTCAGCGGATTCCTCCGACGTAAACTCTCGGAGATATTGAGGTTACTGGAACCGCGTGCTCCAGAACTTCAGGTTCCACAGGAGAGAGAAGGGAGACTTTTATGTAGCAGTGATTCTCATGGTTTTGACTTAATAGTAAATTTTGTTCTGTTTTTCGTTAAAATGTTACTTTGTTATTAATGTAATAATTAACATTAATTAATTAATGTAATGTAAATGTAATTTATTAATATCTCCTTTTACCATTCTAGGTAAGCTAGAAAAAGGTTGTGCTATGATATGGTTCACGACAATACTCGAATGGCGGGATTCGAATTCTCGACCGCAAGATCGGTAGTTTATTATTTAGGGTGAATTGCACCATGTCGCCGGTTATCGTTAAAATTGAAATTATTTGTAACGGTAATATTTGTAATAACCTTAAAATTTACGGGTGTGTTACATTAAACATTACTATACGTTCAATTGTCATTTGTTATGGTAAAAATGTAAAAAGCCCTACGTAGAAATATTACTGCCTACATATCTCGGCTGATACCGATATCAAAGTAATCATAATCATATATTATATAAATAAAAGCAAAAGTTGCGATGGATGGATGGATGTTTGTTAGCGTTTGTAGCCTAAACTGCTGAACGGATCTCCATGAAATTTGGCACAGGTTTAGAGCATAATCTGGAAAAAGAAATAGGCTACTTTTTATCCCGGGAATAGTTACGCTTCCCGTGGGATTGATAAATTCAGTTTTTTAATGTTTACTCGATCATTCTGCAACGGTTCGACATATCTTATTGAAATGTGGCACAGATATAAAACAAAGTCTGAAGTACACATGGGATAAGATTCATCCCCGAGAAATGTCCGTTTCCCGAGGGATACGCAGTTTTTGTTATTTAAATAGTACGTATGTTTTCTAATACCACGCGGACGAAGTCGCAGGGCAACAGCTAGTGTACAATATAGACATAACAGCTACAGATGTACATGATTCTTTTGGCACCCGGCAATAGTTGAAAAATAAAAGTAATGTCAGAGTATTAGTGACACAGCTTGTCAGTTCACTTCGCGTCATTACTTTCAGCTTTTTGTGTGGTTTTTTAAATGTTATTCCAGGAAAAGAAGTGATGAAAGTGTTTAAAAGTAGTACCAGAGAGATTTTTTTACAAAGTGGGAGATATTTTTATCGCGGAAAAGTAGTAGGGTGTCCAGTAATTACATTTGTAAATATGAATCATTTTGTGTCTGTTGCAACTAAAATGTGATACCATTAGTGAACTCAAGAAATTCCCTATTCTCAAGGCGACGCATGTATAATATGATTGGTTTTGTAATTTCAAAAAATTGTTAAACAATAATTGACTTATAAATATTTTTTTGATAGTTGTTTATTACCTATTCATTTCAAATTGCAGTGACCGAACCCTCAGTTGTGATGTGTTTTGTGCAACTGGAAGTACTGGTTCATTACAAAATATACAAGGATTTTGGTTTTCAACATACTTATTTACTTACGTAATAAAGAAATTGTCTACTCGGAAAGGTAACAAGAAACTGGCTTTTTTTTTTGTGACTGATTTGTCACTGTTTGCCTTGAAGAGGCATTTACAGATTCACCGGGCTTGAGGTGGCCCAGCGCAGATGGCGCT